GATCTCCATCTTCCTGGCGGTAGCCCGAGCATTATAAATGTGCTTGAGCTTGTGGTCTGTCCGATCTTGGAAAAGGCCCGATCCGTTGAACGGCATCCCCTTGATTCTTCTCTTGGTTTCTTCCAGAAAGTTACATGATCTTAGCCAGGCATGCCTTTGGAGAGTGACAGAGCCAACTAGAGCGCAGGAATCGCAGTCGATATGATGGTGGGCTGTGGTGAGCTGTTGTATCGCGAGCTGCATGGCCTCTCGTATAAAGACTCGGGCCAGGTCTCATTGTTGCTCTGGGATGGACGAGGTAATTGAATCCAGCCGCTGCATCAGAAAATACTGATACCTCGCCATCGTCACCTCATAGTTAGAGATCCTCAAGCCCAGTCCCATAGCCACGTAAATTCGCTGCACCATTAGGTTGATTTTCCTTCCCTCCTTGTCCCTAGGGGCCGAGTGCTCCCTGTTATCTCGTCCCTGGGATGATTCGATCACGACAGAGTTGGGCTTTGGGTGTTTCAAAAGAAAGGGAATGTCCTGCTCTTTGACTTTGTACATGGACTCATACCTCTGAGATGTTGATTGAGGTTGATCGGGAGGTTGTAATCAACAGGATAGTAATAGTGGAGGATTGTTCCTTGTGGACAATATCGTAAAAATTGTCTTTATTAACGTTGGGTTGGTGCTCAACCTCGATCTCCAAGGCTCTTGTTAAGTGGCCCATAAGCTTGCCGAAAGTAGCATATGACTCTTCGGGCGACCCAGGTCCCTGGGTGGAAATGACTGCCGCAGGAGATGTGGAACAATCGTCTGAGTCCTCAGAGTCTGAGTCATATGGGTAAGGTGGACTCGAGGATGACTGTGCCGGAGGAGGATGGTGAGAGGTCGTTGGCGCTGAAGTAGAAGGGGCTTCCACCCTTGTCTGTCGGGATCGACAGCCATATTACCTTGGCATGTAGTAGCCATATGGGGGTGGTCCCCAATATTGAGGCTGTGAGGCTTTTGGCCCTTCAAATGGCATCGGGATCCATGATCTGGCAGATTGTCCCAATAAGTGGTGATGCTGGTTGGGTTTGACCACTGTGGTCCTCCTAGTTGCCTCCAGGGAGGATGGCATTGCAGTTGGAGAGCGGGTTGGTTGATGGCATGGCAAAGACCTTGGAGGAGAGTCGCAGATCTCTCCATCCAACATCAACCCATGAATGACCGGTTCAGGTGGATGGAGCATAGTTGAGACCGCAGGCTCGATCCTTTGTGGTGATCCGGGCGGCGTGACCTGCATCAACTCTCTCGGTGTCATTGTCGAGGGTGTTGGGACCGATGGTGCTGTCTGGACTGACAAGGCGGTTGAATCTGAATCCCTTCGTGATTCCGGAGCGGGCCTATGTTTTCTGCTGGTCTTGCCCGACTTATCCTTTTTGGCCTTCTTCGAGACCGACGGATCCCCATGGTCAGAATGCTTCCACTTCTCCTTTTGTTTGAGTAAGGAGTGGGAGGAGCGAGAGGTCTTCTCAGAAGCAACTCCCCCGGATGGTCAGGGGGAGGTCACCATGGAAAGGCCGGCCAACAGGGTGAGCGGCGAGCTCGTAAGAGGCTAGTAGGCCCTGATCCCAAAGGATCTTCCTCAGCCTATTCTCTCGGTTCTTCCTGGCCTGTTTGGTGAAGGCCTGGCAATGCCCACACTTGTCGGTGTGATGCCCCTCTCCTAAGCAGAGGAGGCAGAGCTCGTGTGGGTCCACTGGGGACATTTTAGCTCCGCATTTCAAACACTTTCGATATGCCGCACACTGAGCCATTGAAAAGATTGAAAGAGGAATAGTAAAGGTAAGAGGAAAAGAGAGATACTAACTCTCTCTCTCTCTCTTTTAGGAAAGTAAGGAGGAAAGAAGTAACCAGGAAATAAGGGGAAATAACTTGGACTGAACTGGGAAACAATTAGAGAAACAACTAGAGAAACAACCAGTAAGTACGAGAAGACAAGGTAATGGCTCGAGGCAATGCGATCAGTGGTTGAAAGAAGACTGAGGAAAATGGCGGGCGCTCTGCCTTATATAGCACCAGGGGGAAGGGGTACGGAGTTCCCGCCAAAAACCGTTGCAGCTTGGGTATTCTGGCTGGCAACAGGCACTGTGCAGGCACAGTACCCATTATGTGTGATGCACAGAGACCACAATGAAGAATGCAAATCTGTTCATTATGTGGACTAAAAATTCCTTAGGAATGTTATTTAAATTGTATTTTGGTGCTATGTGTCTGTTAGTGATTCTTTTCAGCTTTATTCTAATATTTGAAATTAAGTGTTCATTATCACTACCACAATCTGGTCTTCTTTTGGAAATGAGAATACAAATTCCCCATCTTTTATTTCCAATTACATAGTCCGTTTGATTTCTGTACTGGTCATCTGCTGATTTCCATCTGTGAAGACATCTGATTGGCTACCTGAAGTATGTATTTTGTTGGCTTCATAGAGTTGTATAAGTCATTCTGCTACTTCATTTTTACTCCCTCGGCTAAATTCTCCCTAAACACTAGATTTTGCTTTGTTTCCTATTTTTGTTATTCAAGTCACCTGTGATTGTCAGCATGTCTTGTTTTGGTGTGTTATCAGTTTCGTCTTGGACACCTGCATAAAAGTTTCTGATTTTTTCCTTCTGTTTTTGGAGTATACACTTGAATGATAGTTGATAGTTTTTCTCAAAATTCTGATTGGTATTATTTAATCAGACTTATGGCTCCTTACTGCCTGTGCTACAAAAACACATGTCTTTTTATTAAGTATGATTAATAAAGGTGTACTATAGCTCCAAGAAATTATTAAGAGAGGTACTATACCTCCAAAGTGAAAAGCTTCTGATTTTTTAAAAATACAATTTTTAAATGGGGCGGGGGGAGTTCATACAGACTGGGTGCATCTTTCCCCCAATTCTATTGAGCAGTCTCAAATGTTCCTGGTTATACACAGGTATGGACAAATATGACCTGTGAATGCTATAATCACTCATAAGACCAGCAGCAAGTCTTGTGATAGTGTATGGTATACATGTTAATTGAGGGCAGTGAGAATTCATTACAGGATTACCCTAGTTAAGACAGCAACTGAATTCTTGTTAGGATTACACTTTTAATGACATCCATATATTGAGAATAACATGAAGACCAGGTCTCTCAAACAGTGCTAAGAAAAACCAACAATGACACTGATATGAATTCAACATACTTTTAAACCATGGGTCCTCAAACTACGGCCCGCAGGCTGGATCTGGCCCACCATGCTCATTTATCCAACCCTCCTCAGAGGTTTTGGACATGCTTGGAGAAAACGATCTCCGAGCAAGTCCAAAAGCTCCGAGCCAGCACAGGCGTTCTTTGAAACTGAGCAGAGAGCTGGTGCATGCACCAAATTGCAACAGCTCAATTGCCCATGCACTGGTCCCCCCCCCCCCCAATGGCATGCATATACAGAGTGGGAATACGGAGCAGGAAACAGAAGAGAGAAGGGTGGAAGAGAGAGATGAAGATGAAGACACTAAAAAAGGATTGAAGGTAAGAAAAATCTAACTTTTAAAATCTATTTTTAACTATGTGAGCCACATCCCTGGGCTGCGGGCCTTCTCCAAGTAAACTGCGGCCGCCTCACTGACCCTGGGGCAGACAGGCTGAGGTGGAGTGGCTTACTCAGAGAAAGCTTACTCAGAGAAAGCCATGGGGCTCCCGTGCCTCCACTACGGTGGAGAAAGCTTACTTGGAGAAAGCCGCAGGGCTCCAGCACCTTTTCCGTGGCTTTCTCTGCGTAAGTCACTGCCGCCTTGCCAAGTCCAGGGCGGACAGGCTGAGGCAGAGCAGCTTACTCGGAGAAAGCCGCAGAGGAGAAAGGTTACTCGGAGAAAGCCGCGGGGTTTTTTAACTTTTTAATTAATTTTTAAAATGTTAATTTTTAAATTTAATTTTTTCATGTGCAGTGTGCATAGGAATTCGTTCATTTTTTCCCAAACTATAGTCCGGCCCCACAACAGTGTGAGGGACAATGAACTGGCCCCCTGTTGAAAAAGTCTGAGAACACCTGTTCTAAACTATAGCTAAGTTTATACGAATAAACCAAACCTCCCCCTGTCCTCACATGCTTTGTCCTCTTTCTCCAGTGCAGTCTCAGTAAGTTCAGAAGCTTCTGTTCTGAATTAAGCGTAAATTGTTGTATCATTCAAATGGTAGTTAATCTGAATACCCTCTTCACTGGGGTTCACAAACCTGTGACTCATCTCATCATGCTAAACCAGAATGAGAAACCACCAGTCCACAGGCCAGATACTTTCCTCTGGCCCCAGGGCCTTTACTTCTTGTCTTCTCCAGAGGGAGGTGTGTCTTTTCCTCCCTAACCAGCAAAGGAAAACAGCAAATTAAAGGTGTGGGTGTGAATGTTTAGGAGGCAGTAATGCTTTTGCAGTCCACTATGGTCCCTGTTTGGATTAAGGGGTACATGTTTATAATTTGCATTAAGAAAAAGATGCTCCAGAAAAAAGAACAATTTGCTCCAATGGAAGTTTCCCCACACAATGTCAATTGTCAATATGCGTTTGAGAACCATCTGATCTGGACTAAGGCTGCAGAAGGTTGATGCTGTTTTCACCCATATCAGGCTCAGCACTGCATTGGAAAAAATATCTGCACCCATATCTGCACTGGAAAAAAGTGGTCCATTAGAATGAATAAAAGATTGTTTCTTAACATAAACTAAAATGAAATGTGTGTTGGAGGAGGAATATATGTGTGCAAGAAAAGACACAGGAAGACATGACTGAAATACAGATTAGCACTTGTAGTTCTTGCCCTAACCACAGCTGTAAGGAGCCTCCAATTCATTATTCCCAAGCATTTGTGACCCTCAAGAACCCACCTCTGTGCTAAGCCATGGTTGACCAATGCAGCCATAATAATATAGTTGATAAGCACCCTGAGCAGAAATTTGTGCTTGACCACATCATAAAAACATGCATTAAGGAGATACATACCTCTTTATCTTGAATATTTGGATCTGCATTATTCTCCAAAAGCACCACCATACAATTAATGTAGCCCCCATAAGCAGCACATTGTAGTGGAGTTCTGCCTGCATAATCCTGCACATTGGGGTTGATTTTATTTTCTATCAGTATTTGGCAAACATCTGTGTTTCCTCCCAAAGCTGCCCAGTGTAAGGGAGAGTGACCATCTTGGTCCACCAAATCAACTCTTGCTCCTCCTGAAACGATAACAGATGCTTCATCTCACTGCTTGCCACTTGATTTCATCAGTAGCTTATCAAGCCAATACACAGACAGGTAATAGTCTAAAGGGTATATATCACAATTTCCTAGCAGCACTTGGGAAATATAACTATTTAGTATAAGCAGGAACTTGGTACACCTTAACCAAGTAAACAAAAATTGAACTATTATGGTTTTATTCTGTTGGCTTATGCTACATAATCATACTTATTTACCATAGTACAATAATGCACACTGCAATTATTTCAGCCAAGAGGGAGATTCCCAACAGCTGTAACATCCTGCCTATAGTAACATGGGCAAGATATCCTGAAGAGAAATCCAAAGCAGGGAAACACCAAAGTCTCTTATGAAGGAGGTTAACTGTTAAGGACCATTATTTAGGCATATATCTTCATTATCTCTTGCTAGTTACCTATATTTGAATAATAAGGGCACTAGAAGAGGAAAATCCAATTCACTGAGATCTAGCAATCTGAGATTTCAACCTGTCTGGAGTGTTGCTCACCTGATAAGAATGAGTACACAGGCAACCTGTTTTATTACACTCTATAAATGGTACTACTGTCTGCTCTTGTGAGGAAAAAAGATTGAAGGGATCAGGAATCTTTTGTCTACCAGTCTAGTCCTCAGGTGCTGTCTGAGTTCTCTCTTCTTTGCACTGAGTTATCATTAGCTAATAAAGCCTATGGATAACACGAGGGCAGTATATAAGACAAATGCATGACAAAGAATCCAGGATCTTCTGTACTTCACTTCTATAAAATGGGCCCTATTTAAAAATGGGATCCCAATACATCCAAATATATCTTGGGAAAAATAATCTCAGCATACCAATTAGAAATCTGCATTTTGGGAAAAATGATCAATTAACAAGAGGGAGAAACTTTATAGGGCTTCAATAGACAAAAACAGTAATTATTATTGTTATAAGAAAACTAGTTGCCAAAATAGATCCAGCCACAACTATTACCATGGATCTAGTTCACATGATATAACAACCCAGTGTGGCTCCTTAAGCTATCTGAACCCAGACTGCTTCCCAGAGGCAGCTTACATTTTGGCAGCAAGTCACCTTGACAACTTATTAGTTCTTCTAGAGATTGCTTGACCCACAGTGGTTTATCATGTCGTCCATAACTTCCAATTTCATTGTGGGGTATGGTGATCAGCTACCAAGCCATTTAACAAGAGCAGCAACAATGTTTGCCACTCCTGGCAATCTCACATGTGCTGCCACCAGTTCTCTCCACAGATGCCAGAGCAGCACTTTGGAGCAAGCATCACTGCTCACTACTGTTTTAAGTGCTGAAATGACAGTTAAAGTTGAAAAGCATTGTTAATGTGGTAATGAAGGGTTACCAAAGAAGGTGTACCAAAAGTGTGTGGGGGATGCTATCTCCCTCTTACAATGTTATCCTCCTGATTTCAAGTGCCTTTCTTGAGTTCAGGAAAGTCTCCAAAAGAGAAAGATATTAACTTTTCCACTCTTTGCTGCTCCTTTTCAGAGCAGTTAGCGCAGGTGCAGAAAGTTCTCCTTTTACATCCAAACACTTAAGTTGGCTCATATTTCTCCTGAGGAGGTGTATGCTCCTCCTCACTTTACTTGCCAGCTGTTAAATGTGCGTATGTCTTTCTTTTTTGTTTTGTTCTGTTTTAAAACTGTTAGGGAATCATATCACTCCCAGTAGTAAATGTTCTAAAAAGAAGTCAAGGAAGGAAAAGAATTACTTTTTCCCTTTTCTGGAGTAGCTGGAGGCTTGGAAGAGTTAAAAAATGGAGAATTGTCAGTTCAACAGTTAACATCAAGAGGATTCTGTTGTTACAGGGAAGATATTGCTCCTCTTTCCTTTTAGTGACCTTCTTTTGTCACTTTTGTTGACCAAATGATTAATGTCTTAGTGTGTGTATGCCCAAAATATACAACAGGGGCAGGTTTTCCTTTAAAGGACTTTTTCTTGAGAATAATTGGCTACCAATGAATTGTTCCAGATGGCACACCTGAGCAGTCCTCAGTTGGCCCTTTTATACATTGATCATTAAAGAGTTACACGTAACACAGTTAACACTTTCCAATAAGTTACAGAAGTAAAAAGTTACAATGGCATGAACTTTCTCACTTGTATAATAAAGATCCTGCTTTGAAGGAGATGGGAGGATGCAGTACTATTACATAAGAGGTGGAAGATGGGCTGGGGTGGTGTGAATTGCCCTTTGTTTGAGCTGTTGTTATCTGTCAAGTGTCAACTAGCTTTCTCTGGAACGGTACTTGGTCCGTGTCACCTACATTTCAAGGATGCACACATGCTCAATTCTAGAAAAGAGGGTTCTTCTCAGGCTTGGTTGTGTGTCCATAATTGCATGAGTTAACTAATGAAAGGTTTACCTATCAGTTTGTGCATCACTTTCCCTCCAACTTATCAGTGATTTTTAATTGATAATGCGGCAATTGGTGCCTGGCAACTGTGCATGAATTAGCCTATATACAGCCTCATCTTGTCAATCGCTTTGTCTTTTACCTATTCCACTTCACGGCTCCCATTCACAACTTAAATAAACAAGGACCAGGCAAGACTACACAAATCAGACAGCAGCATGAGTACAGTTGCAAAAGCCCAACAACATAATTAAAAATATAGCACAAGGACAATTTTCAGGGAGTAGAACTATGCAGTTTTCAGGGACTGGAAAAAAGAAAATAGACCATAACTGAACTTTTGTGAGACTCCAAAAACCCCACAAAAATGGTACTGGGTAAGAAAGGTAGTGATCATAGCAAGGAGGGGGAAACAAGATGGGTTCTGTCATGAAGAGAACTGGAATACATGCCAGAACTGGCTGGAGGACTGAGGAGAAGGAGGGGGTGAACAACCCACAATAACCCTAAATGTCTGTGAGGCATATCATGGCTTGTTCAGTGAACACTGTAGGTCAATTGCAGGTGATCTGTCAGTGTGCTGACTGAGTTTCTCTGCTTTAAAACTAGTCAACTGATAGTTTGCTTGGTTATGCAAGGCCCATCACATTAAATCTCAGCATTTATATTGAAAGCTGTAAGCAATTCAATTGATTAAATTATGCACAATGTCTCAAATTGTTTTCAGTCTATATGGATAGCTTACTACCCTGAGAATAATTGTCAATCTGGGGCAAATATCTCTATTTACTACAGATTTTTTAAAGTCTTTTTTTCAAATTTCTTAAAATATGTTTTGCAGAAGTAAGACCTTCTAAATTCATTTCTGAGATAGTATTAGGAAAAGCTTGGTGCAAAATACACTTTTCTGCTATTATCATTCAGTGTAGCTATTAGACAGTACTGTCTGTCATTACTGCTCATTCATTTCATAAAACTGAAGACAGCAGTGTTTTAATGAAAAACTTCATGACTTTGCCACAGCTGACCTTTAATGAGAGTCTGTATCACTTCTTTATGTCCCATCTCACAGGCACGGAAAAGGGGAGTGTGTTTCATTACGTCAGTCGCATCTACCTGGGCCTCATGTTTTAGCAGCAATTGCACGGTGCTGACATGGCCAGAAAGGGCAGCAGCATGTAATGCTGAAAGATGACAAAAAGGGAACGTACAGATTTAAGGACAGCAATTAGAATGATGAACAGAGCACAACTTAAACCACACAGCAATACATAAAACAAACAGCAAGATGAGGAGCTGACTCCACCAGCTGAATCCTATTTTTACTCTGAAATTAGTATTAAGGAGCATACAATTCCTTATCTTACTTCATTTTGTTGTTATTTAAAAAGGTGAACTTTTTCAATGTTGGCATGGACTCAAGTGGTGGACACATTATAAATAAAAAGATTCATGGTTAAGGTTTAAGCATGTTCAAACTTTTCTTCTTCTTCCAAAAAACTCTTGTCCAATTGCTTTGTTCTTCTGCAGTTTATAACTGGCCCCAGCAGAGACACTCTTTCTTCATAGAGCTGTTTTCATCAACTGAGCAATCATAGATTTCCCCTTGGTAAAGAGTACCAATTTTGATATAGGGAGCAAATCTTTCTTAGATTTATTAGTCTTGATTATCTCATCATTCAAAATATAATAATACAATAATCATCAACAAAATTCTGCTGTGGAGTAATAGTTTAATTTTATTCAAGCAATGTGTACAGACTGTGAGCTGCTAATGCTATCCTAGATGAAGTTCACTAATTGATGGAACAGCTAAAGTTATGTTGGTAAAAATGAGTCCATGAGGTGGGTGGTTGTACAGAACGAAGTCTACCAAACAAGAATGTTACTTCCCACTGGATGGAACTTGGCTTTGTATTCTGACTCCACTCAGCACTTAAGATTTTAATTTCCTGCATTGCGCTCCTGAAGCACTACTCAGCCAATTTACATGCGAGGTGTTTACAACAATACAGTTAAATAAAGGAGCTGCTTGTCAGTATGGCCTAGTTCTTACTCCCTCCATAATTCATTTTGACGCAGGCATCTTGCTTCCAAATCTCTTTTCCGTATTTTCTCATAACCCAAATTTTCTTGAAGGGAGTCACAATGACTGAAGAGATTCTTCAGCCAGCTGGTCACAATGGAGCCTTGTTCCACTGACACTTAGATCCCTCTCCATTGTATACAGTCAGTGACGGCAAAGCTATAAAGCTGCCCCTGTGTTGCTCCTACGACAGCGATCTCTGAGCAAAGCAGAATTCTTTTTCCTTGGTATCATTTTCTACAAAATAACAAATGTCTTGCGGTCTAGTAAAACTTGAGTTGAATGGAAATTGTTCCTGTATAAGCAAATGCAAGAGACTACAATGATGTAATGGTAGATTCAAGTTCAACACAGCAAATTTCATAGCAACTCAGCCCACTTTAAAAACATGTGCAATTTTATATTGTCATTTAAGCCAGCTTTTTCTGAGACTAAAAGGGCCAAATTATGGATAGTGAAGGCCATCCTGTGTGTCCATGGAATGTCTCAGAGAGTGTCCAAAGACTGGAACTAGTTTAGTAGTATAGAATCTTGTAAGCCAACTGCACCTTGCCTCCTTGTAGCCAGTATGAGAGGAGAAAAATATCTGAGGACAGCAGCTACAAAAAATGTGCTATGGATTGGCAGAGACCAGCACATCTCAACCATGGTCCTTTTGTTTTTAAAATGAAATATACACATACACATACACACAAACAACTTTCATGAAAAGATGTTCTGCATTTAAAGCACGCAGAGCAGCTGGAGAGGCTGATCTTTCAAAAATGGACTTTGGTTATAACATGTTGAGGTTTAGACCAGGGGTCCTCAAACTTTTTGAACAGGGGACCAGATGAAAGGTGCCGGCGATGGGCGCGGGGCGTGGGCGTAGCCGGGAGAGGGCCCGCGTGCATGGCGAGGCAGGAGCATGCGGAGGTCATTTTCTCCCAGCGAGTCCAAAACAATCTCCTTGCAAGCAAGATGCCACACAGTGCGGTGCTGGCTTGCTTGCAAGGAGATCTTTTTCTCTGAGTAAGTCCAAAACGATCTTGCGAGCAAGCTGCTGCCTCGCTGTGCATGCATTGAGTCCAAAACCTTTATGGCAGGCCGAATTTGGCCCGCAGGCCGTAGTTTGAGGACGCATGGTTTAGACCTTCACCGATTTTCCATTTTTCTTTATAACGCTGCTTTAAGCGCTTGAGTAACAATCTTAATTCATTTTCTGTGCTGTCTCCTGCTTTATTAATTTTGTTATTAATAGTAATTCATTGACAGAAAAGCCATAAAAGGTGTAAAATTGAATCGGACAATATCTTGCTGTAAACACTCTTCTCCTGCCCCACACCCTGTTTTGCCAGTGTTTATGATTTACTGTAGGTTCCAAGGATTAGGACACTACTTCCAGGATCAAGAACCTAGGATACAGAGTCTACCTGAATACATCAAAACATAGAAACAGAGCAAGTCAGAAGGGGTCTCCTGGGCCATCTAGTCTGACCCTCAGCTCCAGCCGGCTCCGCTCATGACATGCCCACCATGTGCTTGTCTAGTCTATGTTTGAACACCCTCACCGATGGGGCCTCAATCACCTCCCATGGAATCCCCTTCCAAACCCTCGAGGTCCTGTCAGAAAGTGCTTCCTGGCATCTAAATGAGCTTTGCTCCGTTGCAGCGCGTCCTGCCTTCCTCTGTGGGAGAGAACAGGTCTCTACCCATCTCTGTGTGACATCCCCTCACATACCTGTATGTCACCAATAGATCCCCTCTGAGTCTCCTCTTCTCCAGGCTGAAGAGACCCAATTCCCTCAGTCTCACGTCATACCCCATCCCCTGCAAACCGGCCACCAACCTTGTGGCCCTATACTGCACTGACCCTAACCTGGCTATATCCTTCCCGTAATGAGGGGCCCAAAACTGAGCACCATACTCCAGTTGCGGGTGCACCAGAGTTGTATAGAGTGGTAGTAATACCCCTCTCCATCTAGAAGCCGCACTTCTGGCTATGCAATCAAGGGTGGCATTTGCCCTCTTGACCACCACACCACATGACTCATGTTTAGCCTGCAGTCAACCAGCACCACGAGGTCCCTTTCACAAGTGCTGCTCTCCAGCCACTTGTCCCCTAACCTGTACTTATGACACCCATTCCAATGCCCCAAGTGCAAGACCTTGCACTTAATCACATTGAACGCCATCCTGTTGTCTCCTGCCCACTTCCATAGTCTGACCAAATCCTTTTAGATCTGCAGTACCTGCTCCTCAGTTGTGGCCACTATCCCAGTTTCAGTATCGTCTGCAAATTTGATCAGCAGACTGTTCACCCCTTCTTCCATGTCATTGATGAAAAGATTAAACAGGATCGGCCCCAGGACAGAGCCCTGGGGGACCCCACTTGTCACTGGCAGCCATCCCAACAATTCCCCACTAACGGTTACCTTCTGCTTTCGGTCAGTCAACCATGCCCTAATCCACCGGACAGTGCTTTGGTGTATCCCAAAACTCCTCAGCTTCTCAACCAAGATATCTTGGGGCACTTTGTCAAAGGCCTTGCTAAAATACAGGTAAACCACATCCACTGCATCCCCTCCATCTGGTCACCTTGAAACCTTGTCATAGAATTCCACAAGGTTTGCTTGGCAGGACCTGTTTTTGCAGAAGTTTTGTTGTGTGCTGCCAGCCTCCTTTCCCTATCTAGTATCACTATATCTCTCTCTATTATGAGCCTTTCCATTGTTTTCCCTACAATGGACGTAAGGCTAACTGGTCTGTAATTCCCCATGTCCCTTTTACTACCCTCTTTGAAAATTGGGACCACTGATGCCACCCTCCTAGAGCCTAGAGCCTTAGTAATGTCCAATGCCCAGAGGAGCCCCTTGACTTCTAGGGGGGTAAGTCTAATCTGTGCCCCTAAGTCCCTGGCCTCATCTAATCTCCTATGTGGATCTCCCCCATCCTGCTTTGGGGAGAACACAAAGGAAAAATAGTCATTTAGCTTCTATGCCTGTTCCCTCGCATCAGTCACTGGATCTCCTTCCTCCTTATTTAGTGGTCCCACCACTTGTCTCCCTCTTGCTATTTACATGCTGAAAGAAGCCCTTTTTGTTGCTCTTGATATTCTTGGCAAGCCTCAGCTTATAATCAGCCTCCTGGTATACCCTTTTGCCTATTTGTCCCAGTACCCATTTCCTGCAGAGTTTCCTCTTGTGTCTGATCCCTCTAACCACTTTCTTTCACATCCATGGCGGCGCTCTCCTTCACCTCCCTGCCTTATTAACTAGAGGTATCATCAAGGCTTGTGCCTCTAAAACCTCCCTTTTGAGGGCAATCCACCCCTCCTCAACTCCCTTGCCTTCCAATAACTTATTCCAGGAGACTTTCCCAGTCAGGCCTTCAGTTGGCCAAAGTTGGCCCTCTTGAAGTCCCAGTTTCTAGTGCTCGACCTGCTGTACATCCCCATTCCCCTGATCTCAAAACAAAGAATGGAGTGATCAGTCGCATCCAGAGCTCCCTTAATCTGTACCTCATCTATCAGCTCCTCCCTGTTGGTCAAGACCAAGTCAAGGATGCCCCCCCCCCCCGTCACCTCTCGGACAACTCACCCACTATAGCCTCTAGGAAGCAATGTGACCTGGCTGTCACCGCTGAGTGAGTCTCCCAACTAATACCCGGGAGGTTGAAATCTCTCATAATTAATGTACCCCTCCCCCAAGATATCCTTAGAATCTGATCTGTCAGGATATTATTCAGGGTCTCAAGATGACCTGGAGGGTGATAACATACCCCCACTGTCAGGTCTCTTTCCCTGTCAAAACCCCTAAGTTTCACCCAGACTGCCTCTACCGAATCCCCATGTGTGCTGCATTCTATGTCACTGCATATTATCCCTTCCCTGACATATAAAGCTACACCCCCACCCCTTTCCCTTCCTGTCCTTTCTAAACAGGTGATACCCCTCTATGTTCACATTCCAGTCTTGCCTTTCATCCCAGGAAGTTTCTGTGATCCCCACCAGGTCATACCCTTCTATTCCCAGGAGAGCTTCAAGCTCTTCCTGCTTCTTACCCATGCTCCTAGCATTGGTGTACATGCACCTCAACTCCTTCCCACAGCTTCCTTTCT